GAGCACAGACCATCTGCAGATGCCTCCTCAGCCTATCAAAGGGTGTTTGCTCCTGAAAGCTTGCTAAGAAAGCTTACTAATTTTTCCAACTATTTGAGTTGGTTTAATAAAAGGTATCAGATTTACCTAAAGAACCTTGTCCGCTAAAATACATAGGACATCTCTGTGGCCTGTTTTTATAGCACCATAATTAAACTTATAGCATGCCCATCCCAAGTCTGACGATTAGTTGCCTGTCCTCATTGGGACAGGGCTTGGCATCAGGATCAGGACAGCCCCAGTCCCGATGCTGAAAATGGGCATTTGGAGGAACATGTTGCAATGTGCCCCATTAGGGAGCTGTGGGGAAAGGCATTTAAAAATGCTAGGTTGGAAGGAGCCATGGGGAGCTGTTCTAAAAACTATATATTTTTGAACACCGGGGCTGTCCCATGGCTAGGATGCCCCTGGCTCCTGATTGATTCCTACTTGCAGCACTTGCAGAGTCCATACCCACAATCCCACATATAGGACTGAGGCCTATGGATTTGAAGTTGTGGCATAGGGGGAAATAGATTGACTCCCCTTGGTGCCACAGTTACACAGCTGTCTGCAGGTCTGTGGGTATCCAGCTTTCAACTTGACAGAGCAGGGGGAGCTTGAGATCCTGATCACAGTGAGGAATATGACAGGTTTTCCAAAAGAGACAAGCACACAAATGGAAAACCCAAATGATGGATTTCTGCTCTTATCACAGATAAAATTGATGATGTCATAAAAATCAATAGAAAAGGTATTTCTAACAATATAAGAGCTTGTGAATTTAGAACCAGCTTGTGTATTTAGGGCAGCCCAGAGGCTTCTGTAAATTATGCCTGGACTGGATCTAATGGAGAAGTAGATTGAGAATTACAGACCTGCCGCTGGTTGCTTTGAAGTTATCTCCCTTCTAGCTTCACAGCTGAGAACACTAATGTATGCTTCCTGTAAGGCAGCTAGCATATTTCTATGCACTGTAAAAATAATATATTGCAGTATTCTCAGGCTATAAAGAAGACAGTTAAATCTGATACTTGCTACAAATGACATGTGCCATGACCTTCAATCCTTGAGATTTTGTAGAAGACTATAATATATTCAGTTTAGCCCAGTTACATGATTGGAGTGCTAGGAGTGCTCATCACCTGGCCTTTATGTGGTTGAACAGTATAAATGAGGAACTCTTTTGCCTCATCCCTTGAATGGGACAGATGAATGTTGACTGGAATTCCTGATGGCACTAAATTCAAAGCAAGTAAGGAGGATCCAATATCTAAGAATTAGCAGAGCTGGATGTCTCCATAGGGGAAAGTGATGGTGAATATATTAACTATAATAAAGGTGTTTGTCCTTCTGAGCACGAAAAGTGGGATGTATTCAATCTCCTTCAGAATACAACCTAGTGTTGCTTCTTTCTAGGATACCTCTGTTGCGTAGGAGTGTTGCATGCAAGTCACTGAGCAGTCTTTGTTACTAAGTACTGCTATGTATCACAGATTTTAAATCAGTTCTGGTCTCAGCTGGAAATATGTACATGAGCATGCTGGCATATGAAACCCAGCACTCTAAAGAAACAGCGTTTCAGTTCCAAATGCTGCTGGTATCAGGTTCAGTGATTCTAACTGCTGAGCATGCTGTTGCTTGCAGATACACAAACTTATTCATTGCAGCAGTTATTTTGTGAGGCTGGGACTACGTGGAAGGAACACTTGATAAGACTATTTCTGTGTAGAAAGCAACTAGGATTTGATTCCTCCTAATTAGGAGGGAAATTTTAATTCTTTTTAAGTACTAAAAAAAAAAGGAAATTTTAAAAATAAGTTAATTTGGGGGCAAGGGTCCCTCAGACTTAAAAGTTTTCTTAAAGTATTGTAAAAGTTTATATTGTATTATTTGTTCCAGTTTTATTTTTAAGCAAAAGAAAAAAATGTCTTGATATCAAACTTCAAAATTTAGCATATTGTATTGACAGCATTTAATATACATTTGCTATGTCCTGTTTTCTCGTCTCCTGCTACATACATCTAACCCTGACAGCAGCCTCCTGCTTGTGCATTAAAATATTCTCGAAGGAAAGATGAAAAAGGGTTATTTTCTGTCCTTCAAATACTACTCACTGGGCATGTCTACACATGAAATTAATGCGAATGAATAAACCCCAGTGCACATTGTGCTGCGTCTTCACATGTGCCCAGGACCACAGCATGTTGAGCTGGGTCACAGAAGCCCTGGCTGACAGGGAGCCCCAGGGGTCAGCCTGCCAGCCTGAAATTGCTTCCACCTGGTTCAACATGCTGTGAAGGGGCTGGCTGGGGCACAAAAGTGCTCCAGTGTGGGGCTAGCTGGCAGTCAACCCCATACTAAAGCACTCTCATGCTCCAGCCAGCCCCGTCAGCGTCTACATGTGCATTGCTGCGCACTAAAGAATACCGCTGCAGGACAGTATTTGCATTTACAAGAACTAACATGCAGCAGAGTTAATTAGTTTCCTGTGGCTTAATAGAGCCACACATGTAGACATTGAGACTTTACTGAGGAGCTAATTAGGAAGCTCTGCAGTAAACATCTCATGTAGGTGCGCTTGCTATGGGTGCAATTCATTTGTGGCACAGATAGCTGATGGTTCATATAGTTCAACACTGTCTCTGCAATGAGGGCTGAGATGAGGAAGGACCAGATTTCACTACAGAATCCATATTTATGCAAGCAGGGCAAGTCAACTACCCTAGTTAATTAAGTGGTTCTCAAATGGGGTGCCACCAGACCTTTTCTGGGGTGCTACAGAATAAGTGTGGGATCTACAGCCACTGCCACCACCCACCGCTGCCATGTGCCTGATGCACAGCTAGACTGGGAAGGGTTGTGGCCCAAGCACACACTCCTGCCTCTATTAGGATTAGATGATAAGCTAAAGAAGGCAGGAGCTCCCCTCTCTTGACAGAAACAGAGGTATTCAGGTCAAGTGGAACTGTCCCTGGAATACCTGTTTCTGGGAGGAGCATGGGGAGACAATGCCAGAAAGGGCTGTGCCAAAAGTAAGCTCTCCTGCCTTCTTTATGCTTATCAGATAACCCTAATGGAGGTAGGAGAATATGTATATGTCACAACTCTTTTCAATCTGCTTGTGCATGAAATGTGCTGGGCATTTTTACCTGATGGTGACAATAGCAGCAGCGCCCCACTGAGAACCACTGACATAAGATGGCGTAGCAGAACAATGATTTTCAATGGGGATGACACCAAAATCAAAAAAGTTATGGAGTGATACCCTGCATCTAAAATGGTCCCTTCCCTTCTCATGTCCTTGTGACAAGGTATTTAGCAGAATTCATAGATTTGTTGGAATCTGACAGACTTTGCCATGAACACTTCTGCTATGGCCTCAAAGCTGTAACCACTGGGCTGCTAACCATGTGCCTGAGCACTCACACTGCCCCAGCATGCCATCTGAAATAGTTGAGAACCATTGAGTTAACTACATGGAGAGAACTATGCTGTAATTATGGACTGTGGACCCCAGTGTAGAGTTGGTTTTGACTGCTTTAACCTGAATGGTAGTCACATGCTTGTTTTAAGAAAAAAGGAAAGATGGTTTTCACAGACTTTGCAAATAAGTTATAAGAAAAAGAAGGACGATAGGTCAAATGTAGGGTTTATCAGTTTTGACAGTGTTCCTTTGAATGTAAAGAAGATAAGAAAACACAAAAGACCTGGTGTTAACCTTTTCAAAGATGAATAAGTCATGGAAATCTAACCATCCTGGGACAATAATCTCTATTCACAAGTAGGCTATAGAAGGAGCCACTGTTTGACCTACTGACATTCTGAGTAGTAAGCTTTATATTATCAGTTTTCTGAAATTGAATAAAGCTAATTTTTCTGGAATTTACTAAGAAAGAGGAATTCCACTGTCTGGAATTTTGGATCTCTTAGTTTAGGTATAGGTTTGAGATTTGCATATTTACAACAAAGTCTTAAAATAAAATCTCCCTCAGATATTGAAACTATATATTTCTACATATAGGATTAAGTCACTGAATAAATAGAAACATTTTAATTGGCTTAATTAATGGCTGGATTTCATTCATAACATCATATCTTCCTCTCACATTGATATAAATGATGAGGAATGCCAGTTATATCAATAAGTTATAGTAGTAGGGCAGAGTAGTGGAAAAGAGACTCAGTTCTACAGTACAGTATCTATTTTGGAAATGCAGTATCTGTATCTCTTTAAATTTCAGCATTCCTCCATGTATATCACCTGGTAAGTACTGTATACAGACCTATTTTACAGACAGATCTTATATTGCCAATATTGTATCATAGCCAAGATTATATTTAAAATCACCAATACTTCATGGCAAGGGTGAGTCAAGAAGGCCTTTCCCTAGACCCTCTCCTAAGGTGGAGATGTTTCCCATTATTTTTTCTGTGTAAGTGTTTTTCTTCCTATCTGGTTAAGAGAGATTCAGATAAATATTGGAAGAGATTCATATCAAAGGAGAAATCTAAACGACAGCAGAAGCACTTTGAAATCACCAACAATTAAAGGCCAACTGTTGGTGTGAACATTAGTAGTTCCATTAAATTCAGTGGAGTATTGCCCATTATAGCAGCAGAAAAAAATGACTGAAATCCTGATCCCATGAAAGTCAATGGCAAAAGTCCTATTTGATTTCAATTAAGTCAATGATTTCACCCAATTTACTTACTATTAATAAAGTTTCTCTAAGTTTAATTTCATCATTCATTTCTTTTGCAATAACTAATCTACAGTGAAAAAGCATAGCTGAGGTCTATAGGAAATGGGTATTTTGAAGTGCAAAGAGGTCAGACTAATGAATAAATATCTTAAGGACTGCTGTCACAATTCATTCATGAAAATAGCTATGCAATGAAGAGCAAATTAGTTTCTTAGTGCCTCATCTGTAGTGGATTTTTGCTATGCCACATGTGAAGTAAGAGACAGTAATACTTACTTATTTCTCTTGATTTTGGTGCTGTGCTCATCATTTACATCCTCTGGACAAGAACTATCACTCTTATCTGCTAAAAAAGACATAAATTAAAATTAGTAGACATTTAGACTATTTAAATAGAAATAAAAAACACCAAACTCCTGTTTCACTTGTCTTTTTGCACTGATTCCTGCATAAAATACTAATCTCTACTATTTTTGTATTAAAATATACTTACAAGTGTTCTCTTCAAAGCTTAAAGTGATAAAAACTAACATTTTGGGGGCTTGAAGGGGTGCTCATTGTAAATTTGTGATGTGATTTTTTTTCTACATTTTACTGTCACTCTTTCACATCTGATTGATAAAAAATGGAAAATATGGCCATAAAGATGCTTGTGGAGGATTATTATTTCAGTCTTGACAAGCTGACTGATTTTAGACAGCTCACTTGTATTTGGAACTGTTTTTCTTCTTTTTGTGTTTCTCATTCCTATAATATTAAAATGTAATGTTGCTTACTTATTAAATCTGACACACTGTATATGAATGGAAGCAAAGTTATCCAGATAGTACGGATCCCTAAACTCACAATGTAACAAAAAAGAAAATATATCACTCCTATTTGGCTTGGACACTTCCATATAGAAGTATAAGATGAGTTTATTAATCATAAAGAGAAGTTTATGAAGAGGACACCTATATATGCAATTTTGAAGTATTTCATGATATTTCCATGTATACAAAATACAATTTTCAACATAACAGCACTGAATAAAAATGAACTGCTGTTAGCATTCACTTCAGTTTAATGCCTAGTTTGATTTTCAGTGTTCTAAGCATTTAAACATGGTTGAAGTAAAAACAGATTTTCAGAGGTAAGAGAGATGGAAGGAGTCAGTACCTTATGTAAACCCATGAAACCCTGCCCCATTTGCAATCCATTGCAATATTCTAATTGATTTTAATGGAATCAGAATTTCACTTCTAGGCTAGGGACAGATATTCAAAAACCCTGAGCCTGAATTGATTCAACTTTTGCAGGTTAGTTTAACATGGCTAGGCGAAATCAGTTTTGTAACCAGACAGAAATCCCAGAAATGCAGGCACATGCCTACAATGGCTCAGGCTAGAAGCCGATGTGGGGCTAAAGAAACCCTCCCTTCCTTCCACAGTACTGAGCTGAGGGAAGGCATGGCCAGGCCCTGGTAGGATGCTCTGATTAGCCAAGCAGGGAACTGATAACAGTGTTTATCACCCCTAACTCAGTGTGTATCACCGCATTAAGAAAACAACAGAGGGACATTACCAGCTTCCCATTGATTCTGCCTGTTGATTCTACCTGTTGATTAAGCAGGGACTGTAGACAGCATGTGGTCTGCTAGCTAATACAGACACCTCCTCAATAAGGCAGAGGGGAAGGGGGAATTCCTGCTTAGCAGTGAGTGGGGAGGGGAGGCAGGAAGCAGCTTGCAAGTATCTGGAGCTGCAGTCAGTGAGCAGAGGGGAGGGGCCAGCCCTGCTGTGGAGCAGAGCATACTGCCTAGCCCAGAGAACATGTCAGGATGCTGGGGGAGTCTGATTTATCTTAAACCAGCAAGGGGTCTGGGACTGACATTGCATACACCAGTTTGAGCCAAATCAGTTAAGTCTGATAATACACTCAACCAGGTTTATCTCAAACCAGTTTCAGCCATTTTCAAACTGGTTTATGTGCACTGAACATCTGTTCTGTTACAGGTTTAAACCAGCTTCTGATCACTTAAACCGGTTTATGTGTAATGTCTGTCCTTGGTCCTAAAGACCATGCATACTGGTATTAATGCAAATATGTATTATTAAGTTGTTTTAAATTCCCTAGTGCTTTTACTAAATACTTAACATACACTGAAGGTCCAATTCTCTTTTCATTGAAACCAAAGAGATTTTGGCCATTTCATTCAAAGGGTGGAGAATATGGTCTTAGATTCTTTTTGCCCCTTGCTTTAAGGAATCATGAATTAATGATATTTCAGCAAAGTGTATAATATTTATATTAAGAAATAATAGTCCAACATCAATACAGAAAAGAGAATAATGGGGGGGGGGGAATGTAACAGCTAAAAAAACTCTGCGATGAAATATCACAATAGCTGAAGATTAAAGGTAGCAGCAGAGAACATATCATAAAGAAGGAACTATACACCAAATTAAAATGATTTAACTCTCTTTTAACATGGTATGCATTGAGGGTAAGTAGAAGTTAATGGCAACCAAAAACCCAGTTTGCTTTATAAAATTATGATAATGAATCAGTGCATTTTGAACATACTAATGAACTTGTGTTTTCACTAGCTATACAGTATAGTCTGCCAGTTCTCCACAGCTATTAATTATTCTATAGAAAAACCTACACAGAAATAATTTGAAGTCCTAGAAGATAGAGGATGGTAATCTAGTCTTGACATTATAAAGTCATTAATCAGGAGCTATTCACCCTGATGAGACAGCAATGATCATAACTTTAATAAACTCTTAAGATAGCAGTATGAAAACTTTCAATGCAGAGTACTTGATGCTGTTCTGAAAGACAATTCAGGTTAAAAATGACCTGAGTTTCAGGGCTGATTGGGCAAGTACAGTCCTACTTTTACAAAATGGCGGAAGTAGTAAAAAAACCATGCTCAGCAGGCAGCAAGCTGAAATAAAAATCAATTGAGTCTTATCTGAGTTAAGCTTCAACAAGTTAGCGGGCATCTAAAACTGATCATCTGTAAAGCACTTTATTACACCATAGATAGCTCTCTCAAAGTTGACTAGGAGATATACTCTGTGATACACTTGACAGTTATTTGTCTCAATGTGAGAAAATGTTTCTTGAACAAAGAACCAGGAAAAGCAAGTGGCAAGATTAGAAGTCTAGATGGTACTAGTAAGATTCTTTGATTCTATATCTCAGCAGGGCCAAAAAATATGCATCAATGACAATGAATGAGTGATTTTCTGAAAGTATGCAAGGTTTAACTTAAAATATCTACTGAGAAAAGATATAAACACTCCATTTCATTCTCAAAAGAAGGCCATCCTTTGTTACATGTAACTGTGATATTGGTATTCAACCTGTAAGTTTATAAAACATTCTGTATGGCTACTAGATTTTAAAAAAAAGAAATAATACAAAATGAAAATCAATCAGTATTCTTATTTCCATGGGCTGATTCAGGGCCTCAACTTAGACTTACATCCACAAAATTAGACCTTGCTTAACAGAACAGGGCTGGATGATGCTTTCCTTACTGTTGACTACTTGCCTGAGGATTTACCTGAGTATGTTTACATTCAGTAAATTTTATACCTTTTACGATTTTAATTCAGTTGGATATTCTGAGAATTAAGATAAAATAGATTCAAGATCTCCCTCAAAAATCATGTTGAAAACACTGTACTGTTGTTGGATCCATTTGTATGGATATTCTGACTGCCTAGTGGACAACAATCTAGTGAAGGATTTAAAACTTTAAAAAGTATATTACTTGAGTTTAACCTCTCTGTGTATTCATGAAAAGGCATTCCATATCACATCTGATGAACTGTCAAACAACTTTAATTAGTTGATTAATTCTTTACAAGAGTTAAACTACACTAACTACACTAGTGTTAATTAGTTAAAGATTCCCAGTAACGACATAGGAAGTGGCTATTCATTTGTGATACTATTAGAAAAATAAATTATAAATAAATGCAACAGTATATTTATGTGACGGGGTGTAAATATCTATTTAATACTTCCCATGTTACAGGGGTATAGGTTGTAGCTGTGTTGGTCTAAGGACATAGGTAGACAAAGTTCTTTGGGTAAAACTGATACATTTTATTAGCCCGACTCAAATAGTTGGAAAAATTCTTCTTTGCAAGGTTTTGTTTATAAATACCCTTCCACAGGCTGAGGAAGCATCTGCAGTTGGTGCACGCTCTTTCTGGATGGAATGAATAGTAAAAAAGCCAGAGGCTGGTATACATGCAACAAAGGCAGTTAGTGAAGATGTAAACTGAGGAGTCGGTGGGTGAGACAGGTTGGGCGGTGAAGGGAGGGGAATGAATATAGTGCATTTGGTGCATTGAAGAGCTGGTTGTGCGGTAAAGAAACCTTACTAAGGGTGCAGGAATAAACCATCCTGATGCACAGGAAGACTAGCAAGTATGGTAGAAAAACAGCTTGGCTTAGCAGGGAACTCTTCAATGAGCTAAAACACAAAAGAAGCATATAAGTGGAGGCGTGGACAAACAACTAGGGAGGGATATAATAGTATTAATGAGGCTTGCAGAGATGAAATCAGGAAAGTCAAAGTGCAATTGGAGTTGTAGCTAACAAGGGACATATAGGGTAACAAGAAGGGTTTTTACAAGTATGTCAACAACAGGAGGAAGATCAGGGAATGTGTGGGTTGCTGAATGGGGGAGGCAAACTAGTGACAGATAATGCAGAAAAGGCCAAAGTACTAAATGCCTTTTTCATCTCAGTCTTCACAGGCAAGGTCAGCTCCCAGATTACTGCACCTTAGGGCTGTGCAAAGGTTCAGGTGCCAATTTGATTCAGAGGAAATTTGGCCTGATTCAACAGCTGAATCTCCAAATCTGAATTGAGTTAGAAGACCAATAAAAAGGTCCAAATAGATTTTAAGCTCTCCGAATCAATTTGGAAAAGATTTGGAGAGATTCGTAGATTTGGGCAGTCCCCACTCACTGCTGCAGGGAGCTGGACCCAGACTCCGTGCCAGTAAGTGCGGGGGGGGCCGAGGGAGGGGGGAAGGGACCATGGGGGGGACCCCTGCCAGGCTCCATCCCCTGCCTGCTCCTCCAGCCTCCCCCAGGAGTGCTCCCTGACCCCCACCGCTCTCCCAGCCCCATCAATGGCAGCCCCGCCTAGCCCCAGCATCCCCGCACTTAAAACAAACAAACAAACCACACTCACTGCCTGCTGCAGCGGCTGTTGGGGCTTCTGGGGCCTCATGGCAGAGCCCCCCCACAACGCAACACAGGGCAGTGGGGAGCAGCGGGGATCAACCCCCCACACCTGGCAGTATCCAGTGAGTGCAGGGCTTTTCTTTTTTTT